AACCACAGATTCTGATTGAACCGTGAGGGGTTTAATGATTCTTCCTTCGTTTATCGAAGTAAGAATTTGAAGCGAATATCTTATCGATGTAAGATGTTCACTCTTCTAAAGATCAAGTCAGAGCTTAGATCTCTAGGAATCGCCAGAAGCTTCTTGAGGATGTTTGTGAAGAAGGAAGACTCTCTCTTTTGCTCTAATTCACCAAAAGCTTAAGCCTTTTCTGCTCCAAAATGCTCTCCAATCAGCCCTTTTTTGTAACCGTCGTCCCACTACTTAAATACCATCTTTTTATGAGGTTAGTGGGCATGATTTTCGCTTGTAACTGCTTCCCCCACGTTCATAAGTGACCCCCAGCAGTTAATAAGCCATGTGGGCTGCACAAAACTCGAGAAAACTGTCAAAAATGACGTGTTCAACTTCCCAGTGGCCGCGACAGTACGTGGCGTCGCTCATTGCCGCGGCAGTTACCACTGCCGCGCACCTCTCGAGTATTTTGGTTCTAACTTCATCGTCCGATGTCGGAATGAGGTGATCCAAGATGCGTTGGAAAGCTGACGAAGAGATCTATAACTTTTGTCTTTTGAGTTTCTTCAGATTTGGATCATATCATGGCTTAAATGTGCAATATATTACCGCGGCAGTATACACTGCCGCGCACCTCCGATGCAGTTTGCGACCTCTCGGGTATTTTGGCTCTAACTTCCTCGTCCGATGTCGGAATGAAGTGATCCAAGATGCATTGGAAAGCTATCGAAGAGATCTACAACTTCCCATTGGCGCTTCACTATGTTTATTTGCGCGACACCTTATATTGTCGCGCTGTTGCCGCGGCAGTGTACACTGCCGCGCACCTCCGATGCAGTTTGCGACCTCTCGGGTATTTTGGCTCTAACTTCCTCGTCCGATGTCGGAATGAGGTGATCCAAGATGCGTTGGAAAGCTATCGAAGAGATCTACAATTTCCCATTGGCGCTTCACTATGTTTATTTGCGCGACACCTTGTACTGTCGCGTTGTTGCCGCGGCAGTGTACACTGTCGCGCACCTCCGATGCAGTTTGCGACCTCTCGGGTATTTTGGCTCTAACTTCCTCGTCCGATGTCGGAATGAGGTGATCCAAGATGCGTTGGAAAGCTATCGAAGAGATCTACAAATTCTCATAGGAATATCACTCTGTTTGTGTGCACAACATCTTCCACTACCGCGCAAATGCGCGTCAGTGTTTCTTATCGTGGGTGTTCATATTGTTCTTCTATGTTGTCTCGTTTCCTTTGAATGATCCCCTTTGATTAAGAGAATGACGTTTATCGCCTCTTCTTTGTCTTGAGTAGTATTTAGATGTCTGTAAGTATTTTTTTGACGCCTACAATTGTTTACAAATTTACTCATCTTTTCACAAGTCTGTCTACTTATATCCATTTACAATTACATTTATCAATTATTACAGATTCAAAATTATAATATAACGATATTATGAATGCAACAATGTTGACATACTAAGTCCTCGCACGGAATGACAACTAGTTTTACTTGATTTTATGAAACCTTATTCTACTTCCTATGCCTTTGACGATGTGGCTTCCACTGCCGCCTTCAACATCCCAAACCCTAAGGCCTCGTTTGGTACGTCGGAATGGGGTGGAATGGAATGGTCATTCTCACTTCTCATTCCTTCCTATCAAACACACCCTCTTTTTTGAAATTGGAATGTTCATTCCCAATTCTCATCAATTCTCATTTTATGTGGGAATGAGCATTCCCATTGAAATGATAGGGAATGTGCATTCCCACTTAAATGGGAATCGATAAAATATACAATTTTAAAATACGTCCATTCTCACTTCATTTTATAAATTACATCCAAACGTGAGAATGAGAATGATTATTCCATTCTCACATTAATTCCATTACATTCCTTCTTCCATTCCATTCTCATTTGAGTCCATTCCCACGTACCAAACGAGGCGTAAGCCTAATGCTCCCTCACTCTCTCTGAATCTTGTTAGGGAAACAATCAGTCAATCCTCTTTCATTACCTCTCTCATGTGATGTGTCACAATAAAGAGCATTTATTATACTAACTAGAGCAAAGTTTTGATTTTTATTTGAATGACGAAAATTTAAACAATTTTTACCAAGATGTCCCTCTGGTCGTGAACAAAATCTCATGGAACTAATATAATCTGGTTTGGATGTACTAAAATAAAGTTACACTATACACCTATCCAAAATTTAAAAACATAATCTCCCTATTTAAATTTATAGCATTACATTTTAGGGCATGGCAGTGGCTCGACCTAAGTCTATAAAGGTAATCGAATTTCAGACAAGTCTTAATTTAATGTAATTTTATTTCAGGATATGGGTTTCAGATTATATGTGTGTGCATGTACGTATATATAGACACACACACAAAAACACATACATATTATATATATATATATATATATATATATATATATATAGAGAGAGAGAGAGAGAGAGAGAGAGAACCTCCTATATACATATACATATTTGTGTGTGCATGCGTGTACATATGCTTATATATATGTTATAGTCTTTATAGATATAATATATAAGTATATATATACTTATATATTTGTATGCATACATGTTATATATTTATACGTATATATATAATTATATATACTTTTCGACTTCATTCACAACCAGAAGGACATCCTAATAAAAAATTGTTAATTGTTAAGTATTCAAATAAAATTCAAAACTGTGTGTATGATCCTCGTCAATTTTTAAAAGAACTCAAAGAACCAAGAAATAAGTGGTTCAATTACAACTATTATCAGGCAAATATTAAGAAGCACAAATTGATTGGTTACTTATTTTTCCAAACAATAGAGTTTTACCTTGTTCTTCCTTGATCTTAGATTGTGCATTTTACTTTATAACGACCAAAATGCAATATAAGGATTACCACGAAGTAAAGAATCCCCCGAGTTTCAAAGTCGATGGAGCCCCTTCACAAAGACAAACAAATCAATCAATTATATCCTACCCTCATCCAATGGAAGCCAGTCTCAGGCCTTCCAACCTCTTCTTGCAAGTCCTCAATATTATCACTCGGTATATCCGGTGGATTATTAACCAACCAATCCAGCTCTCCATCAACATCTCCCAACGGCTCAAACCAAGACCCATGCCTAACCTCAACCTTACGCTTCAACCTATACCTTTTACATTAACTCAGTCGTTCCCACTGCAATATCGCTCAAATCCGTTGCCAAAACCCTAGCCGTCTCTACTGCAATTTAACTCAAATTGGTAGCTAGAAGAATACAACTTTGAGAGCGTGATTAATTAATTTAGTTATATATAGTTACAAATAATATATATATATATATAGAGAGAGAGAGAATAATGGGTATCATTGTCATAGGAGGGGATTTCCTCCTTGAAAATAATGTGGCAAAATCCCCACCATGTGATATTCTCTCTCCTACTTTATTCACATGGTAGGGATTGTGCCACATCATTTTCAAGGAGAAAATCTCCTCCTTGACATAGGACACCCATTAATCTCATATATATATATCTTGTTCTTTAGGAGCACAATAACTGGGTAGTATAACCACAAATATTATCAGTCAATATTAACCAAAAGTAGCATGAATTGGCTAGTTATACCACCTTGTCCTTCTTTGATCTTAGATTGTTTATTTTACTTTATAACAATCACAATACAGATCAGTGTTGTCAATGCGCGCAGCGCAATGCGGGGCGCAAAGCATCTTTACGCGCACATGCGCAAGACGCAACGCGATACGCACGCCCGAGTGATGCGAGGCGCACACCGCACACATAATTTTTCAATATATGTAATCAAGCGCGAAAGAACATGTTTTTAGAACTTACTTGAAAAATATCATGATAAATAATATCTTAATACAAAATCACAATATAATGCCTTAATTTGTAATGCTACCGTCCAACATAGTAGCAAAATTCATAAATTTTTAAATCAAATGTTAAATCAAGATTAATATACAAGCAAAGGATTAGTAATTATCCTCAATTGAAGGCTATTAAAAAGGTCTAATGGATTTATTTTGCTTTTTGGGATATGGAATATCTAGTATAAAGACTCGATTGAAATGTTAACAAATAAAACTATATGAGGATATGTACTATATGCACCCTACACAAAGTAAGAATGTACACGAGGCGCAAAGGCGCTGCTGCATCAGATGTGGGGCGTTTCGTCACCGTCCCGCATCATAAGGCGCATGAGGCGCAATGAGACGCGTGCCTTTGAAAACACTAATACAGATTAAAGTTTTACCTCAAAATAATAGAATACACTGGGCCTCAAAGCTAAATCAGCCCCTTTATAGAGACAAACAAAACAATCCCCCCACCGCAATCATCTCCTCATTACAACGCACGCCTCAACTCATGCCTACCAACTTCTTCGTGCAGACCCTCTGTCCTCTCTCGTATATATACTGGATTACTAACCAACCCATCAAGCTTTCCTTCAACATCTTTCAATGGCTCTATCTAATCTCAATCCCACCCTTTAACCCACACCTCTCCACATTTAACCTTAGCCGTCTCCACTACCATGTCACTTGAATCTATGGCCAAAACCCTAGTTTGCCCCCAAATTTTACCCAATTCCAACAACAATTGCTCCAGTACCTATGCCTAAATCCATCCATAAACCCTCTTCGAAACCCTCAAGCAAACCACTAGTACAATGTGCTCAAGTTACCTAATGGTTTTTATTATACCCACCATATAATTTCATCTTGTCCTTCATGTTTTTTAGAAAAAATTGAAAGCAACAAGAATCGGAAGGTACAAGCACAAAGATAATTGATTGATATTCATTAACAACAAGTACAAATCGATTAGTTTTGCGTAATTCACCTTATTCCTCCTTGATCTAACATTGTGCATTTAGTACATGAGAATCACCCATTATGGTTCAGCATTTCAACTGGTTACATATAACATAATAATGTAGAACAAAAGGATTACCTCGAAAGCGAAAAATCCCCCAGGTCTCAAAGCCGAAGCGGCCCCTTCACAAAGATGAACAAGACACTCAACCCCATCCTCTCCTCCATCCAAAGCAAGCCTCGGCTCATGCCTCCCGACCTCCTCTTGCAAACCCTCAATATCCTTGCTCGGTATATACGGGGGGTTACTAACCAACCCATCAAGCTTCCCCTCGACATCTCTCAACGGCTCAAACCAAGATCCTTGCCTAACCTCGACCCTGCCCTCCAACCCATACCTCTCCACATTAACCCTAGCCGTCTCCGCCGCAACCTCGCTCAGATCCGTCGCCAAAACCCTACCTTTCTCCCCCAACCTCCTCCCAATTCCGATCGCAATAGCCCCGGTCCCCGTCCCGAGGTCCGCCCAGACACCCCCCTCGAAACCCTCAACCTCAGCAACCAAATCGACGACCATCTCCGTCTCCGGCCTCGGGATCAAGACCCCACTCTCTAACCAAACAAGACCAGGTCCCTCCCAGTGCTCGCAGCCGACGAGGTAGGCTGAGGGGCCTCCGATCGAAGACCCGCTGGCGGCCAAAGCGAGTAAGAGGTCGTCGAGGTCGCAGCGGAGGGGACGAGTTAGGGTTAGGGCTAGGGCTCGGTTGGGTGCGTCCTGGAGGAGCAGCGGAGCTCGCGAGGAGGTGAGGGGAGTCGACGGAGGAGAGCGGAGTGCGGGGGAGAAGGGGAGCGGGCTAGGGTTTGGGCCCATTGGCGGAAGGATTGGAGGTCCGAGGGGGTAGCTGAGCGGGTTAACGGGCGGAGGAAGAGAGGGGTTTGGGTTTGGGTTTGGGTTGAACCCGTTAGGGTTTTGCTAGGGTTTGAGAGTGAAGAAGGGCAGAGGAGGGAAGGGGGAGGGAGAGAGGGGGGGCGGATGGGAAACGGGAGCCTGGTGCTTACCATTGCTAAGATTGAGATTTTATCAAAAAAAAAACTTTTGATAAAAACCATCTCTTCTAGGGGTCTCATAATAAAATTTCAAAGGTTCAGGGGGTTTCCTGACAACCCTCAAACTTAATGGTTTTTTCCGACATTTTCAAATTATGAGGAGCTACATAATAACGATCCAAAGCTAAGGGGTGCTTTCTGCCAGCCTATATCTTGTTAGTTGTTATTGTTGGCCTGCTACTTTTGATTTGAGGGATAATTTTCAAAACATTTATAGTTAGAGGAAGTAATAAAAATTTTATAATTTGAAGGACTGATTTTGAGACAAGTTGTAATAATTGGGCAACCTATTTAGCAGACTCAATAATTTGAGGAACTATAATTTTGAAACAACTTATAAATTTTGGCGATCTGGTAGCAATTCCAATCATTTGAGGGACGAAGTAAAATATTAAATACTTAAAGGACTAATGTGGACAAAACCCTAAAACATTGTGTAATTTGATTTCAAGAATTATGAGCGATTCTCAACATGATATTTCTAACAAAATATATTCCTTATATCTGGAGAAAAAAATGAGAAGTTATTATAACATTGCATGAAGTTTTTTTTATCAGAAAACTATGATCAACTATTTTTATTTGGGTTACTCGCATATATATATCTTACATCATCGGTATTTGCAAAAATACCCCACATATCTTTGTATTTACAAAACTACGCTTCAAATCATCAACTTTATAAAAAAAGGGGGGTTCTACATTAAGACCACATTTACTTTTATCCAAATTGATGCTTACCGCATTTACATTTTTTTGATATAAACCACCTTTACTTGCTAACATGATTGCAAGTCACACTTTTTTTACTATTCACATACGAAAAAAGAATCTGATATTCCCATTTTACCCCCATCTTCTTCCTCACAAACTCTAACCTAACCCTAGCCTCCTTCATCCTCCTTTTCTACAAACCCTAACCCTAAACCATGGCCACCACCTCCCTCAAAATCCTAACTCATGACCGCCACCTCCTCCAAAATACTAACTCTAACCCATGACCATTACCTCCCCCAAACCCTAACCCTAATCCTAGTTCCTATTTGGGAAACAATGAGAGAGTGGGAGGATCGTTATTATTTTGCATATTATTTTGTCTAAAATAATACGCGAAATGACCATTTTTTCCCTCACAATTTTTTTGTTTTTTCATCTTCTTCATTACAAAACCTAAACCTACCCTTCTCATCTTCCTCTTCTCCTCATCTTCCTAGTTCCTAGGACATCAGCGTAAGTCTCAATCCCTTCTGACTGTAAATCTGTGTCTGGATCTCAAAATTAAGACCTTGCATGAACCTTTGCCCCTTATCCACCTCATTAGACACCATTCCCGGGGCAAACCTGCTGAGCTTAGCAAATTCTGCTGCATACTCTTCTATAGTACTAGCTCTCTGTCTCAGCATAACAAACTGCCTCTACATCTCAAGACGAGGTAGATAATAGCACAAAAAATCTAGCTCCAGCCTGATTTTATAATATATGTAGACGATGAAGACACTACTCTAGAATTATCCAGAAAAAAGAAGGTGGAGAAAGATTGATCTCGACTCAATAAAAAAACAGAATGAATAAAAAATCTATTTTCTAAATATTTTATAGAATAGTTTAAATTTTTTGAATAAAATTAGAAATTTTTAGAAAGGGTTTTCATGAAAAAAATTTAGTAGTTTTATATACTTATGGGGATGTTATCATATAAAAATGTACTAGAGTTGGCATTAATCTTTAGTTTATGATTTTTTATGAAGTTTATCAATGAGTAGGAACAAACTTTATATTCTCTTTAGTTTCGGTCTAGCCTACTTTTACCCAATCATCTTTGCTTACTGGCTTTAATTATTTGTCATCCTTTCATAATGCTATTTTGTCAAGTGTTCTTCACTTCCGCAACACTATACTTTCTCAAGTCAAGCTTTTGCTTTCATGTTAGTCCAAAAAACATGAAAATCCAAAGTGACTTTGGATTATATTTATTTCCTATCAATTCAATTATCAACATAAAAATTTAAATTCGACGTTAACCAATTCAAACCAACATCAAAGAAAATACATAATCACAATGCTAAAGCTTAGAGACATAAGTGAGCAAAACTATCAAAATGAAACTGACAAATTTTAATAAAAAAATAAATAAAAAATACTTAATAATGGTATTTAACCACGTGCATAAAACTTAGTGCGTCCGTTTGTTTGTTTCCATGACACAAACAGATCACAGAACACCGCGTAAAAACTTACACAGTTTCACCTAACACTGAAATAACCGAAACAGCTTTAACTACACAGCACTTTCAATAACACTGGGAAAAAAAAAATAACAACACAACGTTGATGATGTAGCGTATATTTTCGAGATTTTTTTTTTCCCACTGTTAGTTGGCCATCATATGCTCGCAGATTCCCTCCGGCTACGTTGTGCAGCAACTGCTGAAGCCATCTCCGAGTCGCTGGATCATCCTGCAGTCAGTTTTGCGCGCTATGAGATGATATCAGCGATATATGGAAAGAGAGACTCAAAACCCTGAACCCCTTGCTATCGATATGGAAGCCAGTATTTTCAGGATATATAAGGGGGGGGAAACTAGATGGGAAATCATGTATGAATATAGCATCCAAGGTTTTAAATATCAGATTTCCAGAAAATACCGGACGACTAAAACTAATTAGTCGCATGAGAACCTACGAATGTCTTTATGGCATGTTTGGGTAAATAAATTTTATTTCAATTCCTAGAATTGAACAGACAATTTCAGTGTTCCGATACAAAAATATTTGACAAATTGGAACTGAACTGATCTTCTTAAACTGAGAATACAAAATGGCCACTAAATCTGCATCATTTCTATTTCAAATCTTGTCACTGAACTCGTCGCAGTTTCTCTACTTGTTCCTCATTATCTTCCACTTATGTTGTCCACTTAAAAATCTGAAAATTATAAAGCCATCCTTAAAACATTTGAAAATACAATTCCAAAAGTCTAAAATTGCAAAAACGAATCCTTAAAGATATGAAAATTGCACATCAGTCGTTGAAAATCTGAAAATTACAAAAACCATCCCCATAAAATCTGCAAAGTGTCAACCTTAAAATAAGAAATTTATAAAATCAACCCCTCAAAATTTTTGAAATTGTAAATCAACCACCAAAAAATCTGAAAACTTGAACTTAAAAAAATGCAAAATTTACAAAAACCTCATTAAAAGTCCCGAAATTGCTAACCTCTTTAAATATCCCAAAATTGCAAACAACACCCATAAAAATATAATATTACAAACAACTCCCTTAAAAATCTAAAGATTAAAAAAAACCTAAAATTTTTAAAAATTACATATCAGTCCCTTAAAATCTGAACATTACCAATAGCCCCATCGAAAATAGTGCCTACAAAAATACCAAAATTACCAAAAATAGAACCTCAAATTTTTTTAAATTGCAAGGATCCCACTTTAAAGTCCAAAAATTTGAAACACATCCTTAAAAATCGGAATTTTTTAAATTGTCCCGTTAAAAATAAAAAAATTGCAAACAACTCCTGAGAAATTTTTAGTTGCAAACTGGCCCTTAAAAAATGCAAAGTTTACAAACAGATCTCTCCCTCCCTCCCTTGAATTTGAACTGCTTGGGCGTTACACCCACCACCGGCGCACCGCACTTGCTTGATCTCCCCACGTAGTCTTTTCCTACCTAGCCCATAACTCCCCTTCATCCTTTAGCAAAAGGAAGAAATTATTCTCCACCTCTACAGTCAAGATGTGATTCTATAGGCATCCAACTTTTGAGTTATAGATCTATTCTCCATATAAATCAAGCAACGCAAACATAGAAAACCTATATCTTTCATATAGTAGTTAACCAATATTAATTTTCACGAAGAAAATTCTAGTATATTAAGCCCGTAATTTGTTTCTTTTTTCATCTCCTCTTTTGTTTAGATATTACAATTAACATGGAACATCTATCTTTAAATATTCTTCACAAGTATATCATGTAATAGAGATGCATATTGCATGTAATTAATTTGCTAAAAATATTTGTTTAGATACTACTTGAAAAGTATTAATGGATGAAATATAATATGTTAGATACAAAATACGAACAACATATATGAAATCAGTGCATGAACATTATACCAAATTTAGAAACTAATTATTGGGGGTCCTTATTTTGAAACTTGAGGGATGATTTTGTACCTTTAGCATATCAATTATGCAACAACTTTGTATTATAAATATCATTAGTTTATACCGTCTCTCAGTGCCATCTACAATACATTCAACAAAGGATATAGAAAAAGAGAAAGAACATAAACTCTGTAGCTTCTAATGTTCTCTTTTTTATCTCTTGCTTATTCTTGTTAGAATTAAACTCAATTCTATTGTCAGAATATGCTAGGTAGCTTGATTTGTTGTAAATTTACTTAAATTGTATGTTTACCTAATTAGAATGATACATTGTTGTCTTATATTTGTTCGATATATACTTCCAGTACTATATAATTAGTTTGTTTGAAACTTTCAATAGCGTAGAGAATAATACCATAATATATACCTCTAGCATGGATATATCAAATCAAAGTAGAAAAATAAAAGTGTAAATTTGTTACATTATTAGTAACTTTTGCATTGCAATTTTTTTTTACATTTACTATTTTTATCAGTATATTTTAGAAAAGGATACATCATCAAGGCAAAATGGAGAAAATTGTTCATGCACCAAGCTCTTCCAATAAGCCAACAACCGCCTTCATTCCTATTTAAAAGCTAATAACAACTCTATCAAAGACGCTCCCTCATTAGGAAATAATCACAATGAATTCAGAAGGAATACCTAGTAGGTCTTTTTTTTAAATATTTAGCTACTATGTTTGACTATTTTGTTATGAAATGGTATTTGAATGTATTTGATGTAGGAGAAGAAACTTGCTTGTTTTTCAAATGGCTTGATATTTTAGAAAGGTGATAGGTGACGATGATTTGATCGTCTCAAGTATCAAATCATATACTGATAGGGTATGATTCTGATATCGGATATTATTTATGAAATTTGTACACTGAGATATTTATGAAAAATTAATCAAATTATTCATTTATGAATTTGTACACTAAGATAAGGTTTGGTTCTTATTCCCAGTCATTTATATTGTGCAGGTTATATGAATAATTTGATTAATTCATGAAATTTTATACTATTTATTTGAAGTTACGTTTTTTATTTTTTTATCTTTTCTCTACAGGTGGAAGAATCAATGGTTGCGGATTTTGAAAACTTAATTGCAATAAGTAATAATAATGTAGGGGATGTGATCGATCAAAAGCGTTTGTACCTCATGCTTCATGTGTCCTGTTTCTCATGGAAAAAAGTTGTCCTTCATTCTCATTGAATAAAATTAAACTACCTTGTTATCAATATTGATTCTTACAATTAAAAACATCGGACATTAGTTGATATTTTTATTGAATAAAATTAAACTACATCCATACGCTTTTTTTTTTGTATTAGTTTCTACTTTTGTTTTTGTAGTATTTGCACATAAGGCATGTTGATGGTTTAATCTTCTTCTTGTCTCTAAAAAAATCCTTGATCAAATCTCCATACTATATGCACCAATACCCAATCTTGACCAACATACCATATTTGGCCATGAATACCTATGCTTGGCTATCCTTTTTCTAAAGCAACATTTGACCAATATTTCCAATGTCAAATAGGATTCCAAAGATCTAGAAATCTCCCTTCTGCGTGTCTAGCAGCACCAATGGATACAAGTATGGTCCCAAAACTAGTTTTTAGTTTAATAAAACTTGGATCAAATTTGAACTAGTTTTTTTCTCTCTCTAACTCTTAAGACTAATTCGTTTTTAAATCATCCCCTACATGGACCAACTCTACCATAGTCAAGGAAAACCAATTCAAACTCAATCCTATTTTAGAATTGTCAAATTTAGCTTAATATTGTTGCTACCTATAATTAAATAGACAACATTTCTCCATCCAAATCAACCCACCATGCACAATTCCTTCAATATCCTGAAGAATTTGTCTTAAGGCATCTAGTCTCTTTCCGCTCCTTTTTTGTCAATGTTTTGCTTAACTTATCAGTGAATGCCTACAACATTAATGTATTCTTGGGTCGACAAAAATTTTAGATCCAATAAAAGAAGAATCATCTACAATTTTTCCTTCTTAAAATGCTAATTCCAAACTTGACAAGCACTAAGGGGCTGTTTGGCTAGTGAATTGTATTTTGATGCATGCCATGGATCTTGAAAATTCAAAATTCAAAATCTTATTTGTTTGTAATGGATATTTAAGTGTATTTACATGAGGGATAGAAGTCCAACTAAAATTTGTTTGGTTGCACATGTATTTTGTTGAGAATATGTGACTTAAATAACAAATTTGTGTGAAATTAGCCAAATTTTAAGGAATCACATTTGATGCATCTATTATTGTGGTAGCTCCAAGTTCGTGGCATGAAAAGCTACAAACAAACAACCATTCAATAGCAATCTAGGATTTTAAGCTTGTGTGTCCTACTTTTCATTGCAAAATGCACCAAGTGCATGGAAACAGAAGGCCTCTAATAGACAAGTTCAGAACCAATAAATGCTACTGAAACTATAATGAGGAATTATTTACAATTTATAGTAAAAGGCTATCACAATGATTTTATCTTCACACACACCAAACTTTCTAACGCTGCAAAACCAAAACTAGATTTCTTCAAGACTTGTAGTAACAAACTAGATATTGGTCCCCCCTCATATCTTCAATAATTCCGTACTAGTCTCACAAATCTTTGAAATTACTCATGTCTCTCAAATCCTAAGAGATTCTGCAATTGATCCCTTGATGACTGAAATGCCCTTCAAACCATTAAGAGATGCATATACCCCCTCCTGCTAGGGCAGGGAATAAATGAAGAGAGTATCTAAGGGCCTGTTCGTTTGGCAAAAAAAAGTAGGAAATCAAAGAATAGGAAACCTATTTCCTAGAAAAATTGTTTTGAGGTTGTTTGGTTGGCTAAAAGAAGAAGAAAATCAAAGAATAGGAGATGAGATGAGATGAGTGGTCACCATATTATTAGATGATGTGAGTGATTTTTTAAGAAAACTTGTTTTGATGTTGTTTGGTTGGCTAAAAAAATAAGGAAATGAATTATAAGAAACCTATTTCCTGTAATAGGTTCTTTTCTTGTGTTTGGTTCATTTTTAAAAATAAGAAAATAAATGAGATGAGATGAGTTGTCATTATATTATTGGATGATGTGACTCATACTTAAGAAAATTAATTTTCTTATTTTTTTTAGGAAATTGATGGAAAGGAAATTTTAATGAGATGAGATGAGTTGTCACAATATTATTGGATGATGTGGGTAATTTTTAAAAATAAGATGAGATGAGTTGGATGATGTGACTCATTTTTTGTGTTTGTTTATTTTTAAAAGAAAGGAGATGAGTTGTTGGATGAAAATAATATTTTATTAGATGTTGTGTGTGAGTTTTAGGGATGGAAATGGATGAAAATATTATTTTATTGATTTCCATGTACCGATTTCATTTTCTTGGTTTTTAGGAAACCAACCAAACGGAACCTAACCGTCAGTGTCGGAGGTAACCTATGCTTTTGTGAAGGACAAATTTTCAAAATAGACCCCTTTACAAACTTATTTTCAAAAAACGACCCTTTTTAAAAATATTCATCATTTTCGACCCAGTTTCAGTCACCTGGCTGAAACTGGATCGAAAATGGTGAAAAAACATCAAAAACTTCACCGGATTTAAAATCTCGTGAAGTTTAGGGTCTAATTAGAGCATGAGTTAGTGGAGGTAAGTGGGGAAGCCACATCTTCATGGGATTTAAAATCCCGTGAAGCTAAAACTTCACGGGATTTCATATCCTATGAAGCTGCAAACGCCAACTCCAGAGAGCGATGACTCTCTGGCAATTGGACCTGCAACTTCACGGGATTTGAAATCCCGTGGAGTTGCGGTAGGCCCAATACCATAGCTTGCTATTTAACTCCCCCTCACGCGATCTCATTCCACGTTTCTCTCCCCACCTCGTTCTCTCTCTTTGCTCCTTCACCCCCAAACCCTAGATCCATCTAGCGCCACCCCCTGTCATCGTCGTCATCGTCGTCCTCTTTCAAGGTTGAAAAGCGCCGGAATTCACCAGAGTTCGTTGGATATAAAATTTAGGGCACTGATAAATTTTCGGTAAAATCTTTAAACTTTTTTTGTTTTTCTCCTATTTTTTACATATTCTAACTATTTCATGCTAATAACTTGTTTAAATTTGGATTTGAAATAATTTTTGAAATCTTTATGAATTTTGTGAAGAAAAAATAAAGAAATTTGTATATAGTGGGGAAAATTGTAAAAGTTAGAATAATATTTTTCAAATTTTAAAAGTGAATATTGCTTAAATTATTTAAATTAGGCAATCTTAAAAATATAAAGGTTTGACATTTGGTAAAAATTATGGATGTGTAAAATCGATATTAGAGGATTTAATTATAAATAATAATTTTTGTGTTTTTCGTGTAATATTAATATTGGAATTTCTTTACTCTTCAAAGGTAACAATGAACGATCAAATCGTAATTCTTTGTTCATATAATGGGAAGATTAACTATCTCAAGAATAATATGTCTATATATGAAGGAGGTGTGATGAAACCGTTGTTTATATCAAAATCATGTACTTTTAATGTATTGGTTAATGACTTACACAAATTTACATTAATCTATCCACGTGAGTATCACCTCAACATGATTTGCAATAATCCTGTTACGGGGAAAAGAACAAGTGACATTTAAATCTTAAATGACTACGATATGGGTCTCATTGGAATATTGTATAATGAGAAGCGTTCGGTGAAATTATTTATTGAAAAACATCACAAAAATTTGGGTAAATTAGTGAATCAGAGTATACTCTTGCATGTTGGAGGACCTTGAAGTTGACTCCATTAGCTTTTTGTCTCCACAACAGGATATGGGATGGACACAGCCACAATACTTGATCGATCCTTCGCTTGTGGGCACTTCAAATGCCTTCGATGATAACGCTTCACAATACTTGATCGGTCCTTCGCTTGTGGGCACTTCAAATGCCTTCGATGATAACGCTCCCCATCAAGATAATAACGTCTTTCTCAGAAGTTACGATAGAAGATGTGTAAGTGTCGAATCCGAGGATGATAACGAAGAGGATGCTTACAAATTAATAGCATAGCGTTTGATAGATTGTGATGAATGGGGCAACCAATATATTGACCAATGTTATTTTAACAATGAGTATATCGTATTGGAGGATCCGTCGTCCGATGAACTTCATGAAGAATAATGGATTGATGACTCCACAATGAAAAGTATTCCTATTGACACTAATTTAAATGATGATACACAAGGTGAGGACTTCTTATTCAGAAAGGGTGATCTATTTGAAAGCAAGGATAAATTGATTCATGCGCTTCGTTTGTAGGTCATCCAAAAAAATATCAAGTTCAGGTAGACGAAAAGCAATGCAACAAGCTATAATGTAGTTTGATTTTACCGCAAAGATGGTGAGGAAGAAGATAGTGGTGGGCATCACGACAGAAATGTAAAATGTCCTTAGAAGCTTAATTCACGCTTAGGGGTGATAGTAGACGGGTAATTTAAAATAACACACTACAACGGACTTCACACATGTAGCAATCCTTGATTAGAAACGAATCATAAACAAGTGTCCGCCTCTTTCATATATTGATTGATTATGCCTAAACTACGGGAGGATCTTGATCTAAGGCAAAAGAATATTCGTATTTTAGTACATAACGCGACCAACTTGGATGTATCATACAAGTGTTGGAATGCTCGGAGGAAGGCGATGATAAAAATATCCAAATATTGGGGAAGATCTTATGAGATCTTACTACATTATCTTGAAGTACTTAAAAAAGAAAATCCAAGGACAGTGTACGAAACATCATCGGATCCTATTGACGCCGGAGATAAATGATTCACATAGGTATTTTCGGCATTTAGACCTTGCATTGAGGGATTCAGATATTATCGTCCTATTCTTAGGATTGATGACACTCACTTGTACAGTAAATATAAAGGCGTTTTGCTTGTTACAACCGGAGTAGACGCAGATGACGGTTTATTTCCTTTGGCTTTTGCAATGGTTAATGTTAAAAACACGAAAAATTAGGCATGATTTTTTACATGCATTAGATATCATATCCCTAGTGTGCGAACACGATCGATTATGATAGGATGAAAGGAATTCCAATAGCACTCCAACGATATTTTTTCGTTGTCGCACCAACATCACTATTACTTGCGACATATTAGGGACAACTTCAAGAGGAAGCATGGACAAATGCATCTTCAAGATCTTCTTTGACAAGCTGGATGTGCGATGAAAAAATTAGTTTATGAACAACTACGGGAAAAGATTAAGTCCATTTCACAAGCTACACATGATTAGATCGAGACTAGTTTGGGTCCAAACAATGTCGATAGGTGGGCCTTATGTGAAGATGGCGGGAAACGGTTTTGTATGATGACCACTAACGTTTCTGAGAGTTTCAATAATGTGCTTAGGGGAGAACGCAATATGCCAATACAGTCATTAGTTATAAAAATATTTTACAGACTTAATAAATTCTTCCTTAGACGACGCATACTTGGAGCAAATATCCCGTCGGAGTTGACGCCGAAAGTTGAAGGCAAATTAGCGGATCGGATTGTGCAGGCTCGATCATTTCGTGTTGTTAGATACAATTTTAATGTATGGGAGGTCATTAAGGAAATATCACATGGAGAAAATCGTTCTTGCAAAGTTAATATGCTAGTGGATCAAACTTGTACATGCACTTGCATATTAATGAGATTTAGGATCCGACAATGTTAGGGATCTTCAATATTATGATCAAATAGAGAATAACAAATGTGTTCTACAAAAATCATGTCGGCGAATTTGAAGGACGTGAGGACAAATCAAGCCAATTTGGTAAAGTGTACACGCGAAGACGTAGGACAAGTCAAAGGACAGCGTGTGACGATGGAGACGGCACTTCTCATAGTACGGCGCATGCTGATGGAGACGACACTTCTCAACCTCATACACGATCGGATACTCAGAAGTCAGATCATCGAGGCTCATCAGCATAGACAGAGGGGACGGGGACGGGGGGAAGAGTGAGGGGGAGGGGTAAAAGAGGGAGAACTTTTAAGATGTATGTAAAATTTACAGTATGATTATGAATTTCAAGAATGTATATGGTTAGATTGTTCAAATTTGTTGCTTGTGTGGATCGATTTTTGTTTATATATGTGATTTTCGTGTACTGTTTTGATTCATGATTGAATTTTATGAATATTGTTGTAATTCAGTATATATGCCGCAAATTTGATGTTTATGGTTGGATTTTCATGTATATTGTTGTAAATGAGACGAAATTTTTTATTATATACAACAGGTTATGGATTGTGAAATTTATAGGCTCATTAGGTGAAAAATGCACATATTCTGTGCATATTTTAAGGAACCTACAACTCCACGAGATTTCAAATCCCGTGAAGTTGTAGGCCCAATTGCTAGAGAGCCATCGCTCTAGAGTTGGCGCCTGCAACTTCACGGGATATAAAATCCCATGAAGTTTTAGCATCACGGGATTTCAAATCCCGTGAAGATGTGGCTTCTTACTTACCCCCACTAACCCATGCTTTAATTAGGCCTTAAACTTCACGGAATTTTAAATCTCGTAAAGTTTTCGATGTTTTTTTGCCATTTTCGACCAAACACTTTTAGAATTCCATTTTCTTTCTCGATGCTTTGCTTTGATTATATATTTTGTAAAGTTACAATATTTTCAAAAGGTGTCGTTTTTGAAAATAAGTTTCTAAAGGGGTCTATTTTAAAAATTTATCCTTTTGTAAAAGCAAGTTTTTTTCAGAGGGGGGTACATAAGCTGAGGGACATTTTAGTCATCAAAGGATTGTATTTTAAAGCTCATTTAACTTCCTAGAGAGGTTAAAATAAATATAAGCTACTTATCGAGCACTAAGTCTTATATCACTTAAGGGAATCACTTGCCCCTAGGAAAGATAATACAGCTACTTGAAGATTTTATGGGTAAACCAAGGTATTGGTGAAAACACACATAAAAAACTAGTAAACTAACTGGTGTACTGGAAAAAGAAAAAAAAAACTTGATCCTTGTGGAGTATTAAAACTTACTCGAAGGCAACTATTGAATGTTCCGTCCTTTAACATTTCTGGGAGGCAAGACTGCAACGCTTCACATGCCCTGCATTAGTTCACAAGCATATATAATGGCATAGTTAAATGTAGCCCAATCTATTATACATAAAATTAAGCATGAAAATAACCAAACCTAGGGTTGTCTGAAAGTCTGAGGTAACAGCGAATGATATGCTTCAGCAATCTCGTTGAAGGTTGTTCGGCAAGGGTTACAACCATGTTGGCAAGCACACTTCCAACTGCGAAGAACCTTTCGGCAGTGGCACAAATGTAGCGAAGGCCCACGTCGTCCAATAAAATTTTTTGTACAATGAAGGTCGCCACCTAAACACTCAAGGAAAATCAAGTTAATTTAGAATATAAAATTATAAACATATATAAACCATCAGCATGACTTATTATTTTTGGTTCAATTGAAAGCAACCCAGACTCAAATTCCATCACCCTTTTTTTTTGCGACAATAATTCCATCAACCACTTATTTAAAGCGGATTTTTCATTAAAAAAATACTTAACGAGAGTATGTTAGGATATAAAACCATAACCATCAACCTTTACCCTCAACTTCAGAGTTCTTGTGCAGTGGAAGAACTTTTAAGATCAATAAATTACATTACAAACCTCAAAAGGTGAAGATGAACTACTACTTATGCAACACAAACCAAGCAACAGTGGGTATTTAAACTCAACTCAATTCATAAACCAAACAATGAACTAAAAATTCCATGAATCATAACCCGATTACAACTTAATCCTAATTAAAATCAAAGTTATAAACTCAGAGTTTAACTAGATCTCCTAATAGTAATCAGATACATTGTATCTTGTTGCTCAAGGTGGATCATCAGTTTTCAAATCCGTTAAGAATTTCTTTATTTCCAGAAGCCAAAAGCCTGGAATCTACTGAAGTCTTGGCCAAGTAGCCACTGGTTTTACACGAAGGATATTTCTATAATTTAAATTTTAAAATTTGGTGTCTGCAGGAAATTGCAAAGTTTGGGAGAAGACCAGTTGAAAGACCTCCCTACTGTAATCCTCTACCATGATAATTGTACAATGTGTTTGATGGGTTACCGTCTTTGAAAGTTCACTGCCCATCTCCATGGTGCGCAGACAAAGAGGAATTATTTCAGTTTGAAGAAGAAAACTTATAACCTCAGTATCATCGACCTGTGGTAGTAATAAAATAAATACTATCAATTGTTGCACAATAGTCTGAAACATGCAAAAATATGAGACCATAGATACCAAGAAGGACAACAACTATGCCAGCCAGAAGCTGAAACAATATTTACATAAACAAAACACTAATGATTAATCTTTTTATAAATGTTACTTAAAATATATAAAGATAAATAGTAGTGCAGTTACCTTGACAAGGGCACCGATAACTCCCAGGCTGGTAAGTCTCAAGTACTCGAATGGCCTTGTTTTACTAGTTGTGTTCAGAAAAGGATACAGATACAGAGGTATATGAGCTGCAAAAGAGAATTAGGATAATATGTGTTATAAAATCAACAGCTACCATATTGCTGATTTCCTTTAGGGCCTGTTTGTTTGCCCCAAAAAAAGGGGAAATCAAAGAAATGGAAAACTATTAAATCAAAGAATTGTTTTGGGAGTGTTTGGTTTGCTAAAAAAAAGAAGAAATCAAAGAAATGGAGATGAGTTGTCACCTTATTATAGGATGATGTGAGTGATTTTTTAAGAAAACTTGTTTTGATGTTGTTTGGTTGGCAAAAAAAATAAGGAAATGAATTATAAGAAACCAATTTCTTAAAAAAGTTTGTTTGGTTCTTTCTTAAAAATAAGAAAATAGATGAGATGAGATGAGTTGTCATTGTATTATTGGGTGATGTGATCCAAGATTAAGAAAAGCGTTTTCACAACTTTTTGGGATGAAAACAAAGAAATGAAATGTTAATGAGATGAGATGAGTTGTCACAATCTTATTGGATGATGTGAGTGATTTTTAAATATGAGATAAGATGAGTTGAGTGATGTTGTTGATGAAAATAATATTTTATTAGATGTGGTGGATGTGATGGATGAGTTGTTGGATGAAAATAATATTTTATTAGATGTGGTGGATGAGTTGTTGGATAAAAATAATATTTTATTAGATGTTGTGGGTGAGTTTTAGGGATGGAAATGTGTAAAATTGTACTTTTTGAGATTTCTTGCTTTTCATTTCCATTTTTCGGTTTTTTGGGAAATAACCAAACAGGCCCTAAAAAAAATCCTTCAACAACGGATAATAATGAGAGACTTAATGCACTATCTTATTCGTAGAAATCCATAATCTATCTAATGATATTTCTACTGAATTAAAATAAAGGGCTAGAAGATAGTGGAAACAGATCGAAAATTTATCTTTTTAACATAAGAATTTAGAAGTGAAAATTATCCTCGACACAAGAATTTAAAAGTGCAGGCTTGGAACCTTAGATGATAACTAAGATTGACTTTGCCTTAAAAGAAACTCTTTGTAGGAGTTCAAGAATAGTACAATTACCGTTCAGAAACAGAATCCTCGTATCTGGGTGTGAAGCGACACACTGTAAAGAAAAGTGCAATTAAACTATGAAATGTATAATTGTAAACTGATAGCATCTCAGAAGGAAATAATGACTAACAGAGAACCATAGATGGGCTAGAAAAAATCATACACTAAGAGCAAACATGCAACAGAAAATAAGCATGATATTAATCCTACTGGAAAATACATATCACTGGACTTGAATCCAAATGTGACTGTTCGCCTCTGATACTTAAAAGATGAGATGGTCTTGTTTTGTGTAGCTAGTTTTTGCTTTATTTATATCTGTCATCTGATTACTTCCAAGGCAATTCACTCTGCAGTTATAGTAGGTATCATGTAGACTTTGGTTAAGAGTAGCCTAAAGCTATTTAATATATCCTACATCCACTGTCATCTGTACATTCTTACAAGGTCAAAGATACTAATGAATTTCTCTCTCAATACCACCAATACTTACAGCCAGTGCTATTAATGCGCGAGGCACAATGCAGAGCGCAAAGTCCCTTTACGCCTACATGCGCAAAGTGCAACACGACGCACGCGCCAGAGTGAAGCGAGGCACGCATCTCACACATAATTTTTCAATATAGATAATGAAGCATGAAAGAACATGTTTATGTATTTTCACATGAAAAATATGTCACAATATATAATATCTACTGTGAAATTACAAAATAAAGTCTTAACTCATAATGCTAATATATCCAACATAGTAGGGAAGCTCATAATTTTCCGAATCAAATTTCCAATCAAGACTAATATCAAAGCAAATTTTAGGATCCACAATCGAGCTACTAAAAAGGCATAACAGGTTTATTTTGTTTGTTGGGATACAAGTTATCAAGTATAAAGACTAGATTGAAACGTTGAAGACTAAGGATATATGAGGCTATGCCTTGCATGTAACCTGCGCAAAGGGCAAGTTGCTTGCGAAGTACTGCCGCATTTGATGCAGGGCACATCGACACTGCCCCGCATCGCATGGCGCATAAGGCATAGTAAGGCGCACGCCTTTGATAACATTGCTCACAGCACCAAAAAGTAGAGGCGTGTTAGGCATGCTCGTTCATGGTATCACTTTGATAAGTTTTATCGTGAATATAAAACAAATAATATGAACCTTGTAGTGATGTTATTGACAATAAAAGAACATTTCCAAATTATTATACTTTTCAGACATCGCGAGCATTTTCACTTGCAAAGACATGCTGTGTTGCAGACTAGCAATATTATTTCATGAAATAAGGTTGTTATATCACTATATCTGATTGATTAAAGTCGATTAAACAATGAGATAAATAATTGCAAATTCAAAGTAAAATAATAGTTGACCTGAAGAAGGGCAAGCGCATTGCAAACTCGATTTGATGCACCAGGGGACAACGTTGGAGGCGATAGAGCAGGATAAATTGAAACTATCTCCTGAAGAAAATAGATGAATATTATAAGAAATTAATAACCAGAAACCAAAATGCAACTCCCTTATCAAGATAATCTACAATGAGATCACTGTTATTGATAGATCCTTATGTAAACTGCCTGCATCATGTTGAACTGATAATCTAATTACACTTTATAATGAAGTACTGTAATATTGCCAATGAAGTTTCACAAACATTACGTTCAACTTATTGGTTGAAGGGAAACATGATTGAAGGTGAGTAGAATGAGGTAAGCAATGGTCTTATGCCAAGAAAAAAGTGAATAATTTCTTGGACCCAATATTTGTTGTTCCTGTAAGTTGATGAAAAGAGCATAACCATGGTATATTGGTAAGTTGATGCTTAATTTCAAATGTCTAGCTTAACTCTTTAGAGTGGGCAGAAAAAGGGAATTACATATCAAACTATTTTTCATATAACTATAACTTGGATACTTGCAATAGAAGCAAAACCAAGGAATTAGCAAAGCTGCAGGTATCATATTAACCAGAGAAGGATATAAAGATGAGAAGCAAGAGACATTCACGATACGATTAGATCTCAATGCATTTCCTAGACATGATATTTGTGTGTTAGCAAGATCACAATGAAGCTGCTAGCACTACTTCGAGAAATATCCTGCTAATTAAAAGCTGCGAATGAAATTGCAAAATATTTCTTGCCAAATTTTTCTTTCACATAGACAAAACATTAAATGTGGTAAACATGCACCTGGAGGAGAGCTGCGATAGTACCATAAGAGTTCCACAGAAGAGGAGCTAAATCCTGAAATATCTCCCTTTTCTGTAAATAATTGGTACTATAATTATAGACATCTAAGGCATACATGTAAAAAATATAATTAATCATATCTAGTAAATATAAGCCAGAGTACATACACGAAAAGAGATGCACAATCTACAGAACAAAAGAAACATAAAAGATATCATAGCTATTTTAATTCATAACATGTGAATGAAAAGACAATAATGATCACATGCAAATTAAGTTTGATATATGTATACATACATATATACATAGTCGTGTCCCTATAATCCACCTTTTACAAACTTTTTGTGTCCCCTGCCTGCACCCGCACTCGTGTCGGTGTCTGTGTATTATAGTAGCACATTATTCTCCCCCCACTCATGATTTGTAGAAGAAATCATGAGTGTCGGAGTGCCGCAGGGCAACATGGACAGAGATTGTCAGACAATGGGCCAAAGTACCTCCACAATGCAGGCACGAGAACATGGCTATATAAGTGGTTTTTTCATTATATATGTATCATATGTGTATGAATATGTTATGTATTGTGTTGTTATTCACAGAATCACGAAAAGAAGCAAGCATAGAAAAGACTTAGAACCGAAATAGGTATAGTGAAAGGGGCCATAGTATCCTTCATGTCATATGTATTTGGAGTGAATAGTTTACGCAATTGTAAACTACACATCGTGTCACCTTCTTGGAGACACTGATTACTGAGGGAAATCAGAACTAGCATACCTTCTTATCGTCTGTAACATACCTCGGTATAAAAATCAATTCCCTACAAGTGATTTCTATACATTGTATTGTAACAAAAAACTAATCGAACTTCCAAGAAGAATTAACTATGTCAGTTTGCATGTTGTAATTCACTATTATAAGTAAACAACAAAAACAAACCCTTTATCCCAAATTTTTGGGTCTGCCCACATGAATCGCACTATTCCATTGTGTTCTATTGAGGGCCACCGCTGCTATCAAGTCATCCATTGTCATGTCCTTCTAAACCGTTACTAACCAAGTTTCTTAGGCTAATATCTAGTGTTTCTTGCTCTAATCTTATTACTTCTCCTAATTGATTCATTTAATGGCCACCGTTGTGCAGGTCAAGAGATCTCAATAGGAGCATCCTCCACCCTCCTGTGAATACACACATTGCTTATCCTATCCATTAGTATATATCTGCTCATTCATCGAATATTCTATTTTTTGCTAGTATTCATATAGACCCGACTAGGTTTTACATTGGTTTCCTAACAAAAACTCTCCTCATTTATCCTGGCCTGTAACAGGTAGTAAAATGATAAACAATAAAGCACAACACTCGCGGAGTTTAAGTCACTATTAAAAGTCCCTCAACTGATCATATAAAAAATAATGATAGTATGTTATTGTAAGACAAAAGGGCAATTACTAAGGATAACTTGCACATACTTTGGTAGACAATTGAAGAAACTACAACATCACCACCTAAATGTGAAGGAAAGGCAAGGCAATGGGTTCCATTATGTGTTCCCGGGTTCCATTATGTGTTCCCTTCTCTATCTTAGGTTTACTCTACAAAATAAACGAGTCTCTATTAGGATTGTGGCAACTAACAACTGAAAGGTAATTGTAGACATGGGGAACTCAAATCCCTAACAAACTCACGTCAGCTCCACATTTAGCCTATGTCGTACTAAGTGGATCCTAACGTATCACCACGGTACCACAGTCCAGGGGCTTGTTGTACACTACTCTAGTCCTGATCAAACGCTGCAAGCTCAGGGTCACCCCTTCGGCTTCGCACTGGACTAGTCCCAGACCAGCACTGCAATACAGGCATCACCACTGGCAACGCTCGACCGTGGGTGGGAAGATGGGGTTGCTGTACTGCCGTTGGCAAGGGACTTGAAAGCTAGTATTTAGAGGGAGGCAAGGCCACAAACTGGAAGTAAAAATAGTACAATATAACAAAAAGATCATCGGGTATCAACAATGCAATGTTATACATCATCAAACAAACTATCAAAGATGCAATCTTTACATTGCAACAGCTCTCCCCAAACCTCGCCCACCACAAAATCATAGTTCTTTCTCCGTTCAGTTATCCAGAAAACACTGGAAACTAAAATCAGCTCAAAACCCTAACCGAATTTTACCAAATTTCACACTGTAATGATGAGCTGGGGGGAAAAGAAACGAACTTTATGCGAAAGGAGAGACCTTTGAGAGATCTAGCAAGGCGTTTTCTCTGAGCTCGGGATCGCAGAGGTCAAGAACGAGCTGCTCCGCCGACGTGGTTGAGATTTACGGAGAGAGATGGGGGCAGATTCGCCATTTAATTGTTTTTTTTTTTTGGGTGTAAAAAAGTTTTGTAGAGAGAGAGAGAGAGGAGGGAGAAGGTGGAAGTCTGGAGGAGGAAGAAGAGAAGTCTCCGTTCTGTTTACTGTTAATTCTCTATTTTCTACCAACTGCCTTTTTACATGATATTTTTGTTTTCGTTTTGTACTCAAGTTTTTGTTCTATCTTTTATTTTGGTAATTCTTTGATTTTTTTTTTAAATAGGATTATGTAAATTTGTATTTCTATTCCCATAGCTAACGAAAAGATTTGCATATATTTGCAGGATGTGACAGTATTTATCCAGGATAAATACCCTTGTATCCATAATCACTTTTAAGGAAAATTTTTCTAAAGAACTATATTGAAAATTCAATTAGAAAACATAGTCAAATTTATATTTAATTACAAAAAATAGTTATATTTTGACATAATAGTTATAGTATTTAGCCCTTGCGATGCGCGGGTTATTGTTACTGATAACGCATGTTACATAGCCTTTAATTTTTAATGTTTTCGCATATTACGTAGTCGTTCGTTGTTTATGTATATTTTGTACCCCTTTGTTTGTTGCTTTTTGCCGAAAATGTTTTATGTTACTACTTCTTCAAATTAATTAAAGTCTTATTTTAAACTTAAAATGTTACAATAATTATTAAAATCTTAAAGTTATTTATTAAATTGCAAATAATTAAAATTTAATATTTTTAGACGAGTTTAGAGTATAAAAGCAGTAATTACGTTTATTCTCCAATAACAACACGATTAATCTAACATTTTTAAACATTATAAACTCTAAAATAAATGAAGATATTTAAGCAAAAGATGGATTAGCATACGATACTTAATATTATCAAATACTTGGAAGTTTGGGTATATAATTATAAATGCTCATGATTTTGTTTCACTACACAATTACCAAATACGATACTTAATATTATCAAATACTTGGAAGTTTGGGTATATAATTATAAGGGGTTTTTGCTTTTAGACCCATTTGTTTACTCCCATTTATTTTTAAACCCAAGTACTATTATTTGTATCTTTAAGCCCAATTCACCTTTTGTATTTATCTTTAAACCCAAAACCACTTATTTTTATATTTTGAAGATTGGGTTTAAAAATAAATACAAAATGTGAATTGGGCTTAAAGATATAAATAATAGTACATGGGTTTAAAAATAAATGGGAGTAAACAAATGGGTCTAAAAGCAAAAACCCCTAATTATAAATGCTTATGATTTTGTTTCACTACACAATTACCAAATACGATACTTAATATTATCAAATACTTGTGATGGCTGGAGATTGCATGTTATGCCACGTGTCTTGATGATGAACTCTAATACCCGTTCTATATTTCATCATTTTCCTAAAAATCTCCGCCTCTGCTCGCTGTCTACGCCGTTTTTGTAACAAAAGAGGATCCAAATTTCTAATTCTCTTTCAACCAAACATTGGATTTGTAGTATGTTGCAAATATTCAAACAACAGACTTGAAGTTGATTTTCAGCAACTAATGATATTTACAACATTTGGTGATAATTTTTGCAACAAACTGAAGTGCTATATACAATCTGTATTTACTAGTTGCAGAGCTACTATCGGCGCGCTCGTTAAATTATATCGGGAAAACAAGCATTTGACTAGGTATATTTGGATCAACTATATCGCTAAGTTACTTAGCCACTCAATTTCTGAGAAGGAATGGTATTGACTGTTCATAATGAATGAACATGATTTATGTACAACCATTCATTTCAATGAAGAAGTCTATCAAGTTCTGTGGAAGTCTTCACCACCCTATCTCTTGCGGGCTTATTCTGCCGTGTCGGGAATGCAATTTTGTAGCAGATTCTTTTCTAAATTCGGGGTGCTATATATTTATTTTCGTATTTATATTCGTATTTTCATATTTCATTAATGTTTATATCTCATTTTGAAGGATATGAATGAATTTTTCCCTTACGAAATATATTTGTACTTATCTCTCGGTCGCACGAATCTCTAAATGCCATAGACAATCCTTATCTATGAAAATTAATAAATTGTTAATTGGTAGCTCTTAGTTAGGTGTTAAATAATCTGAGATAACTATATAGTTATAGCACTATTAGGCATAGTACTACAAATACAAAACATGCATCTAAGATTATTTAAGGGCTAATTATAGAAAACCCTCGTGAACAGTTGGCGAGTTGCGGTAAACACCCATCAACTTTTTTATTATATCCCGCGTGAACTATTTCATTTCGCTAAATTTCACGTAAAAATATCTCATTTATTCTCCAAATTAGCCCCATCGATACTAACATCTCTCACGTGACAAGCATATGTCAGAAAAAGATAAAAAAAAAATCTTAGTCTCAAAAAATTACATATTTTTTCTTTTTACTAACATAACAAAAAACCCACATGAATCAGAAAATTTTTAGAGTGGATTGCCTATAAATAACCGAAGCTTTGGGTCTACTACTAAGCATTCTTGGGTGTTGGATATGGAAAATAAGAGCGGCAGGAAATCAAACATCTTCCCTAGAGAAAAATTATGAACTGCATTGTGTCGAGGCATGTGACAAATTATCAAATTGTCAATTAAAATGAATTCAACTAATTTCGGCAAGTGATTTTGTTGGGACTTTTTGGCATGTGGTCATTATTTACAATTTTCCTTGTGTTTTTTTAGATTTAATTTATGAAAAGGTGATGCTTATAGTATATAATTATGGAAAGATAAGCAGTAAGATAGATGTGTATGCCCACAAAGTTGTTTTTGGCATGAATTTCCATAAGGGGGGGGGGGGGGGGGGGGGAAGGCTTAGCTGCCAGCTGATTTCGTAATTTGCCTATTTTTACATTTATGTACCATGAGTTGGTTGTCTGACAAATAAATATTATAAGCCATTTTGAAATTGCCATACTAGTCCCCTTAATCATGCAAACATGAAAATGTTCATCCGAATGTTTCTTAATGTTACTTACTTGCTAATTTTAAAACTTTATAACTATTAATATTTATGTTAAATGTGCTATTAAGTCTATTTTTTTTAAAACATAACTTAATTCATTTTTAAAATAGAGATGGGATATGTTTGATATAAATTTGACAAATATTAATGGTGTAGAAAGTTACAAAATTATGTTAATGTTATATTAGAATATTCAAGTAAAAATTTCCGTGTTTGTATAATCGAAAGTACTAACATGTCAATTTAAAGCGACTCACGCTATTTATTTGTCAAAAGGAAAAAAATTCGGTTTATGATACACGAATGACGAAACTGAGAAACTTTATAGTATTGAAAGTGCAATTTAGCGGGGGATAACCCATATGAATAACTAGGGTTTCGTTTGGATACCATAGTATTTATCTTCTTGTGTTTTTGTAAAAAAACACTATGGTGTTGTGTTTTTACCTTAAAATATTTTCAAAGCACCATGTTAAGTATTTTTGGTCAACACTAGTTTGATCCATTATAACATTAGTATTAAACATATTATTAATATATTATATATTAATTATAATAAAATATATTATAAAGTGCTATAATATTTAGTTTACATTATTATAGCATTATAAGTATTGAATGTAATGCAATATAAAATTGTATAATGTATTATAATACTATATTGTACTTTAATGAGTTATATTATATTAAAATAATTATTACTACATTATAATTATTATATATTATGTTTAAATAATTATATATGTAATTATTTTGGCATATCAATTTGTTTTTATTAATAGTACTTTAATAATATATTAGTATTTATGATATAAATAATTATTATTATATTATGAATATATTATTTTTACATTAACATTTGTTAGCAATTAATTATTTTATTATTAAAAATTATTTTACTTTATAATAAATTATATTATTTATTACATAATATATTAATATTTTATATATGGACAAATTTTTAAAAACAACCATTTTGTAATTTTAATAAGCAAAATCGACCTTCTGTAAAAATAAATAGCAAAATCAACCCTTTTCATTTGAAAAGGGTCGATTTTGAAGATTTTCGAACTGCACAGGACTACCGGTCCCGTGCAGTTAAGATATTAAGTAATTAACATGCTCCTCTCCTCCATTTTCTTCCCCTTTCTCCTCTCTTGCCGATCCCAAACCCCAAAAAAAACCAAGCCCTAGAAAACCCCCAACCAGACCCTAACCCTTGAAAAAGCCATGGTCTCCTCCTCCTCCCGCCTCCTCCTCCTCCACCTCCACCGCTCCTTCTCCCAATCCACCTCCATCCCCAAGAAGCTCCAGCACTCCCAGTCCACTCCGCTCCTTCTCCCAGTCCACCTCCGTCTCCCACCTCAACTCCTCCCTCCCGCTCTCCACTCTCGAATCCCTCTCCCGCTGTAACCTCTGTTGGCCTCTTTGTTTTGATGATATTTAACAAACAATTTACTACTAATGTTGTTTGTCTAGTGTTTGTGCATTCCTATGTATTGTAGACAAACAACGTTGTTGGAGGATGGAAGGAATAGAGCTTCAACGATCATATCCAAAGGAGGTTGGCGGAATGTCGGTGAAGCCTTGCTATTCAAAGTTTAAGATCCAAGTTAAAGCTTCATCCACGAGATTACCTATAAGAGCTTATTGAAGATCAAGATTAGCTTGGGTAATTTAGTTTAGATTTTATATTATGTGTGTTATATACTCTAAGTTCAATATCTATACACACACATTTATTGGTTTCTTCATATATATATATATAGTTATATATATATACATAAGTTTTGGTTTCTATGCATATATATAGTTATATATATACATACATAGTTTTTGAGTTTTCATGTTTATAATATGAAATCACATATTTCATATTTACTATTGTGTTTTTGAAAACATTGCATAGAATATGCAATTTTGTGAAAATATTGTATTCTTAGTTTATAGACTTCAATATCAGTTTATACATGTTTTACTAAGTCTATAAAAACATTTCACAAAGTTTCAAAAGTTGGTTTATGTCAAAACATCAAAATTCAAGTATCTCATATTTTCATGTTTTGGACTATTTTGTAAAATGATGATATTTTTCATTTGGGAAGTCCTTTTTGATAACCAGTCATTGTAGCATGTTTATTATCATGTCTACAATCATTCCCCAAAGTTTTACATTTTTTGGAATTTATTTGATATTTTTAAACAGCATTTCAAAATCAGATAAACAGTTATGTCAGATTTCGGTCGACCGCACCGGTCGACCGCTCTTGTTTCCTTTGCTTAGTGTCCGACAGAGAGTTTGTCGGTCGACCGATCCGGTCGACCGAGAGCTCTTCGGTCGACCGCACCGGTCGACCGACGCGCTGTCAGTTCTCCCAACGGCTATTTTTCTAGCCATTGCAGAATTTTTTTTTTGGGCTTTTTGGTCATTTACTTTGGGGTTTTTGCTGATATTTCCTCTTCCTATATATACCCTCATTGAATTCAATTCTAGAAGTTAATAGAATGGTTTAAAAGGTTTTAACAAGGGTTTAAACTTGTTTAGTGTTTGTTTAAGTTTGTTTTAAGAAGCTTTTAAGCATTAGAGTGTTTTGGTTTTGTGATTCAATTCAACAAGAGCTTGAGGAGATCATCTATTGGTGTTTGGGCATCCAACTCTTCTCCCTCCACTCTTGATATATTGAGAAGTTTTCTAAACTCTATTTCTAGCTCTTTTATATATTTGATTATCATTGTTATTAAGGTAGAACTACTTTGAGTTTAGTTTTGATTTATATCTCTTTATTCACACACAACCTTTTGAGCTTATTGTATTGACATTCATAGTATAATTTGGGGTTGTGGGTTTGTGACTAAGAGTTATGCTTAATTGAGTTCTCACCTTGTTTAGAGAACAATCAATTGATTTATATTTACACCGAGTGAGGAGTGTGTGGTGAGAGTCGGGGATCGTCCCAAGAGGAGTGGCGTTGGTTGACGTGCCTAGGGAGAGGTTGTAACCGAGCACTTGAGGGAGACACGGCTAGGTCCAACACTTAGTGGGTGTAGAGTGTGATTGCAATAGTGTGAGTTGTAGAGTTTTCGGTTAGCTAGAAAACCGAGTGTGTAGAAGAAGTTCCGGCTTCCAAACCGGATTGTGTTAGTGGATTTCTCCCCGGGAGTGGGGAGCGGAGACGTAGGACGGAAGGTCCGAACTCCGTGATCATATAGTGTGTTTGAGTGTGCTTTGGCGTTCATTTATATTTATGTTCATATCTTATATCGCCATTGTCCATAGCTCATTATTTATATGATCCACTATTTAGTTCATATTGTTTACCCCTTGTGTTAGTTTTCATATCCTTGCATATATCATATTGTATATCTTTTTGGTAGGATATATTATCTTGTGTTAGTTTATATATCCTTGCATATATATAGGATATATCTCTTTGTTGTTCATATTGCTTATCCTAGCTTACATATCTTGTTGTATTTCATACTTGCTAGGATAACATTTTAATTAATTTTAATTGGTATAAAATCGGATTAGATTAGCATAAGACCCTAATCACCCCCCCTCTAGGGTCTAACAACCTCCGCCTCTGCCCCCTCGCCGCCAGCTCATTCCTCCACCCCCACGCCTTCCACGTCTTCGAGCTGGCGATAGTGGTGACGAACCAGGTGGTGGATGTGATCGACGGGGGCTTTGGGATCTCGTGGGCCAATTGCTTGTTGCCGGGGTTTGGGATCGGCAGGAACGCGATATGAATTCAGGCTTTGAACTTGAGGCTAAATTGCGTGAACTTGAGGTTAAACTGCTTGATAAGATCGGGAGGAGTTGGGGTGATTGAGTCATTAGCATCCTAACTGCACGAGACTACTAGTCCCGTGCAGAAAAGGATTGTTTTTGCTGTTTATTTTTAGAGAAGGTCGATTTTGCTTATTAAAATTGGCTAAGTAACTATACAATATGTTATTATAATAATATAATTATATTGTTATGTTATTATTAAATATATTACTATTATATAATATTTTATATTTATTAATTTATTACATTTATTTATTAAAAAGTTAATAATATTGTAGTGATTATACTATTGTATAGTATAGTATTATATCATTTTTATATTATTATTTATTATCAATAACTTTTTTACTACTTTTTATTAGTTTATTTATATTATTTATTATTATTTATTATATAATACATTATTAACATATTAAATATTGGTATTTAATATGTTATTATATTATTATATAAGATATTTTATTTATTATAGTTTTATATTATTTAATAAATATTACTAATGTATTAAATTAACTATAATATAGTATAGTATAACTATTATAATAAACATGTTGATAATAACTCTATACTAATTATATTTAATATATTATGTTAGCTATTATATTAACACCTTCTCAAACTCAAAACCAAAATACCAAACTTAAAACATCTAAATTGTGTTTTGAAATAAGTGTTGTGTTTTTTGTTTGAATATGATTTAGCTCAAAAAACATCATGGTTTCCAAACGAATGATGTTTTATTTTTGGCAAAAACACCATAGAAACAAGTAAAACATCATAGTATCCAAACAGAGTCTAGAATTTCTTTAATCTTCCAAACGCAACGAATTTATATTTCCTCGTCAAATCGCTCGAGGGTAGTTAGCGAGATGACGTTAACTCCTCATCTACACTGCTTAAACAGTAATTAGGACAAAAGTAATCTAAACCTAAACTCTAATCCAACTCTCCCTACGGACAAAAATACCCTTAACCCCACATCCAGTCCCGCTCCAAACTTTCTCGTAATTACATCGAAACCGCAGTGGCATTATCGTCATTAAAGTGCACCAGTGAGGAACCTCCGCGTCCCGACACGTCGCTTTTGCCCTCCCCTCTCCCGCGGACGAAATCCAATCGCCCGCAGGATGCTCGACGAAATTCCCACTCCCAAAATCTCACTGGTTTTGGACTCAAAAACCCTAACCCTAACCCTAATTCCACGAACCGAATAGAACTCCAATGGCTTTATCTTCTCCGTTCAGCTCCTCTCTCCACCCCCGTCTCCGCTCCCCCCTCCCTCGTCTTAGGGTTTCAAAACCCCCCAGATCCGTTAGGGTTTCGCCGAAATCGGTGAGATTCGATCGGATCCTCACGAGCGAGTCCGAATCCGAGATGACCAACGGATTCTTCGAAGCCATCGAGGAGCTCGAGCGAATGGTCCGAGACCCCTCCGATGTGCTCAACGAGATGATCGAGCGGCTCTCGTCTCGGGAGCTGCAGCTTGTTCTGGTCTACTTCTCCCAGGAAGGAAGGGACTCGTACTGTGCGTTGGAAGTGTTCGATTGGCTGAAGAAGGAGAACAGGGTCGATGGGGAGACGATGGAGCTGATGGTTTCGATAGCTTGCGGTTGGATCGAGAGGTTGGTTTCGGGCGAGCACGCGGTCGATGAAGTGGTGGGGCTTTTGAATGAGATGGAGTGCGTTGGGGTCGAGCCGGGGTTTAGCATGGTGGAAAAGGTGGTGAGTTTGTATTGGGAGAGGGGAAAGAAGGAGGTGGGTGTGGAGTTTGTGAAGAGTGTGATGAGGAGAGGGGGAGTTGGAGGGTATGTGGTTGGTGAGGATGGGGATAAGGGACGAGGTAGGCCGGTTGGGTATCTTGCGTGGAAGATGATGGTGGGTTTGCTTATGCATCGATTTAAATTTATTGCTGAGTTATCTTCCTTATTTCGAGCTTTGCAAAGTAAATTCCAAATATGATATGGACCCAATTATTGATAGAAACAACAACAATAACAATCAATCGCAAAATTTTGGGTTACCTACATGAATCATATTCTTCTATTCATTTCTTAGACTATGTACTTCTAATAACTATAATATCCTTCTTAGTTGCTTCACCAAGTTGTCTTATGCCTACCTTTAGTGCTTCATGTTCCATTAATTATAATTTACCTTTCATGATGCACGTGGTTTATGTGGCACCAGCGTTTGGAAAGGCATTTTGAAATTCACTTAGAAACTTTTTGAACGATAATTGATTCAAAACTCATAACTGAAGCTATCCCTTGGAATCTGCGCCTCATCACTTAAAGCATAACTAAAGTGTGCGCTCCACAAACACCATGAAGCACTTCTCTTTTGAAGCGCACGTTTTAGACAATATAGGAGGATATAAAAGATTATTTGGCTAAAATTAAAATGCTCCTAGCTTTTTGTTTTCTTTCCTCACCAGGATTTTCCCTTTAATAAGGAAATTTAACTTTAGGCTCATGTATCTTTTAGCATGACCATCTGACTGGAAATAAGATATGTATCTTATACATGTAGCTTAGTTTATTATAATTTGCGCTATACTTAGCATATTTAATTCTTATTTACTAATCATGACCTAAATGTATCTATAGTAAATTTTTACATCACTACATGTTATATGTGTATAGCATATTTAAAAATTTAAAATTATATACTTAACTTTTAAGGCTTACACCTCATGCTTTGAATCTTACACCTCGCTTTATAAAATGGTCTTCCGCTTTGCTCAGTGCTTCCGTTGTTTTGAACATTGTGTTGCACATGATCAGACTATCTCAAATTCTTAATCGGTTCTCTTTCATTTTATCCTTAATAGAAACAAACGTACTTATTTTTTACCTTATCGTTTAAGGTAAATCCACAAGTCTATCATATCATTCCTTTTCCTAAACACTTACTTTTTGTCGTTTAAGGTAAATCCACAAGTCTATCATATCATTCCTTTTCCTAAACACTTACTTTTTGCATATGTTCTTTTCGATTGTCATATATTAAGTCTATCATATCATTCCTTTTCCTAAACACTTACTTTTTGCATATGTTCTTTTCGATTGTCATATATTCTGATCCATAAAGCATTGTAGTTATAATTGACTATAGAATTGTCCTTGTTGTGTTTATTTTAATTCCTAAGTTATTTGATTGCAGGAGCAAATCCCCAAGTAAGATATCTAGGATAATATATCAGAAGAAAATAATTAGGTTCCGACGTATTATAGAAATTTTAGATTCTGTAGCTCAACATAGCTCTAATGGGAAGAGCGACAATAATGATAAACAACATAGCGCTTCTTCCAAATCTTTTGGGTTGACTCATGAATTATATTCTTCGATTCTGTTTAGTTAAGGGTCATCTTCTCTATTAAATAAACCACTCATATTATTCTAATTTACTTCTAGCCAAGTTCTCTTAAACCTACCTCCAGCCTCCTTGCTTAATTAAAATAAAGTATGTAAAAAGAATACCATAACTGACGATCATATTAATGGTTGGATTGAGGGAGCATATACTTTGACACAACCTAAATTTTTGTCGACCTTCTTTGCATTTTTACTTATGTGTCACAGCACTTTACTTTGTAGGGAATAAAGAAAACTGTTTACACTAGCTGATTTGTTTCTGATTTAAGAGAATATTCTGTATAATTTTAGTGATGGACTAACACAAGCATATATCATACTTTATCGGTATATGATAAGAACCACTTGGAGATATCACTTAATGCTACAGAAGGTATGCATTTATTGATTCGAAATTAAGGTTGAAATTCTTTACGTTTTGCAGTTGCTTTGTATGTTGATTGTTGATTTAGAAGTTTTAACAGCCTCTCACATTTGTAAATTTCATTGGAAATTGCATTTGATGCTAACAGCACATTACAGATATTTCAGGACACTGTCCTAGCTAATCCATGAACGATCTTGAACCATTACCTTATTTGATTTTGAAAATATATCTAAAAATATTTTGAACATGTGAAAGAAGAAGACGAGTATACCCTTTTGTTATTTGACCTTTAGTCACCTTTATATTTCTCTGCATCTTCGACCTTTTCGAGCTACATATACCCTTTTGTTATTTGACCTTTAGTCACCTTTATATTTCTCTGCATCTTCGACCTTTTCGAGCTACATCTACTAATATTTTCCATATTAAATAGTCACCTTTATATTTCTCTGCATCTTCGACCTTTTCGAGCTACATCTACTAATATTTTCCATATTAAACCCATGTTTACCATATTGTTTGATATGATAAATGATTGTGGACAAGTGTTACATGCACTCTATCTTATGCATTAAGTGGCATGTTCAATTGCATAGAAAATCAGTACTCCACCATATTGTATGTACCCAAATTACATAAAGCTGATGTACCAAATTATCAGTCTAGGTAGGGGACCAAAACTAATGATTTTTGTTAAATAAGTTCTCATTGTTATCCATTTATTCACATTGTTATCCGTTTAATCATATGATGACTGTCGTTTTGCTGTGAGGAGATAAGTTAATCTTATAAACAAGGAACAATGAGTAACCTGGTGCCATTTGATTCCATCTCCATCCTGAATAAATTGTTAAGTTTTAGTTGATTTTACCTGGGTAGAAAATTTTCGAATTAACCAGCTCTGTGATAATCTTTAAATTCTCTCAGGTAGATGGAAATTACATGGGTGCTGTCAAGTTAGTAATCGAATTCAAAGATTGTGGACTGAACCCTGATCCTCACAGCTACCTTATTGCATTAACTGCATTAGTCAAAGAGCAGAAAGAGTTCTCAAAAGCTTTGCGCAAGTTAAAGGCATCAATGAAGTCAGGCTCTATTGCCGAACTCGATGATGAGAACACAAATCGTATCGAGAAATATCAATCCGATATCATAAACTATGGACTACGCTTATCAAATTGCGCAGTCCAAGAAGGAAGCTCTGTAAATGCCGGTATAGTCCATGAGAAGCTCCTCGCAATTTACACTTGTGCAGGATTAGGGCTGGAAGCTGAGAACGAGCTATGGCAAATGAAGCTATCAGGCAAAGAGCCTGACAAAGAGCTCTGTGATGTTGTTCTAGCCATTTGTGCGTCTCAAAAGGAAGTTAGTGCTGTTAACAGATTGCTTGCCAGAGCTGAGGTTATGGGTTCAGGCCGAAGGAAGAAGACTTTATCATGGTTACTTCGTGGGTATGTTAAAGGAGGGAATTATTTGGATGCTTCAGATACTCTCATGAAAATGCTTGACCTTGGTTTATGTCCTGATTATTTGGATAGAGTTGCTGTGTTGCAAGGGTTGGGTAAGAGCATAAAGGAATCTGGTAGTATTGAACTCTACATGAAGCTTTGTAAGAGGCTGTCTGATGTGGAACTGATTGGACCCTGTCTTGTGTATTTGTATGTACATAGATACAAGCTGTGGGTAGTGAACACGCTCTGAAGGCAAAGTTGTTGGGCCACTCTGTATATATAAGTCGGAGAAAATATTATACAGGTGTATAGTTTCACATGTCTGTTATGTAATAACATAGTGATGTCTGAAAGTCTTGTTTTTTTAACGATATTCGGGGGATTTGAAGTATTGATTGATTCTGGATGAGGTTTCTTTATAATTGTTGGATTTCTTACTGTGAATAAGATGAATGGTGATTTGATGTTGTTGGTCTTAGGGTTTCAAAACCCCCCAAATTCATTAGGTTCTCGTCGAAATCGGTCAGATTCGATCGGATCCTCATGAGCGAGTCCGAATCCAAGATGACCAACGGATTCTTCGAAGCGATCGAAGAGCTCGAGCGAGTGGTTCGAGATCCTTCCGATGTGCTCAACAAGATTGATCGAAAGGCTCTCGTCTCGAGAGCTGCAGCTTGTTCTGGTCTTTTTCTCCCAAGAAGGAAGGGACTCGTACTGTGCATTGGAAGGAAGTGTTTGATTGGTCTCGAGAGCTGCAGCTTGTTCTCGTACTCGTACTGTGTATTTGTGACTAATTGTTCTTTTTTGGCAGATTTATTGCATACAATGTTCAGTTTGCAGTTGGCAATCTTTGAGGGGGCATCTGGTCCCTTCATATTAAATCAGATAAGAATTAGGTAGCTAGACCAACATCTGATGTTAAATGTTTTTCTGTTGTAGGCATCAAAGTCGAGAGCAAATGAACAGTTTAGGCGAGTGATTGCTATTAGATTTCATTTGATTTGGTATTTACATTGATTTGCTTCAAAATTTGCTGAAATTGTGTACCGCTGTCATGTGAGCTCATTAAAAATCCTTGCCAGTGTTGATACTCTCCTCTCACATCGATATTGATTTTCTTTTTCTCGATTAAATTCACCTGATGCATTTAACTTCACATCCAGAAAGTATATACGCATTCGAAGTTCATCTTTCATCTTCTTGTAGAACCCTTTGGCTGATCCCAACTTAGTGCATCTGCAGTTTTAATTTGCAAGAGGGCATATGTAATAGTTGCTGAAGCTGTTTGTCTCACCGCGAGTGGTGCTTTTTGGCGACTGAAGTTGCAAAAGAACCACTTTTCCTAAGTGACTTGCAACCAAATTGATTGCGAACTTGTTTTGTTCGAGAAGTTGCTCATTTTTACGACTGCAATTGCATAAAAGCTGGAGCTGCAGAGAAGCAAAAAGCTGCCTGATAATATAATTTACTTGCATTTGAAAAAATTGCATTCTTCTTCCTAATGGTCACTAACTAAAAGTGAGATGACATTGTTTTGCAGGGATGGTGACCTTGTTGATTCTGTTGCCCTGACGAAGGCTGCTGAAGAATACCTCGAAGCTAAGGAAAAAGATAAGGTAATGTCTGTTCTTTGCCTATTATTACAATTTATTGATTGAAATATAAAATCAGGAGTTTTTCTTTATTACTTTCCCTGTTGAATCTTCATCTTTAAATACTTTTGCTCCTCACTAGTGTTATTCCCCTCTATGTTTACTTTTTGTGGGACCGATATTGTAACCTAAATGCATTGTCAACATGTTCTTATGTATATGTTAAAAACGATCAACTCATTACGTTATATATGGATAGTTATCTAAGGACTTTTTCCTCCCTTTTGTTATTATTTTTTCTGGTAATGCAGCAAAAGCCATCATTCGAACTTTCTGGCAAGCTTGCTGAGGAGACTAATCGTGTTCGAGGTGAGAATTCACTAATTTAATACACACCCACTTCTTGAAATCTTCTCCAGTTTGTCAATCTTGACATGTCAAATAATTATGATTAATCTTTTTTTTCAAAATATTCTGTGCAACTTTATGTTACCTGTTTAAGTATAGTGCATATAAGAAATATGTAAACAGACCTGTTAAAAATGCCTTAATAATAGTATCCGCTTTCTTCTTAATCATTTTGTTTTCAGGCATTTCCTGTTTTCTTCCATGTTTCAGGTGCCGCACTCCTATTTAATGGACCCGCAGATGCTCGAAAACCTGATACAAGATGGCGGTTGTATGTTTTTAAGGCCGGAGAAGTTGTAAAAACTTTGCTTATAAGTTATGTCACATAAGTGACCTTTTCAGATGCATGTGCATTGAACATTACATCAAATGATATACTAACGTACATGCATCCGTATAAGATTTTGTCAAAAAAAACAACTTTTATAATTGAAAAGGGTTTCCTGGTTGGTTTGGTGGTGTGGTTTCAAGAGTTGTGCTGTTGGTCATGCTTGAACTGCAGCTGTGTTACGTTACTAACAGAAACGTGCAATGAACAGATGCCCTTTATGTGCATCGTCGGGTCGTTATCTTTTAGGGCGACAAAAGGAAAGTTGCAGATATCCCTACAGATCATCCCTCTTGCAGCAAACAACATGCCGTTGTTCAATACAGCCTGATGGGTTAATGAAAAAAGCAAGTAAGGTAATGGAAAAAGCAAGTAAGGTAATGGATCAACATGCTTGTTTCTTGTAATCACATAGCACTTAACTCTGAGGTAATGACCATTTTCAATTGTGTACTTATCAGGCCTTGTATTTATGTCTTGTGCACTCTACTTTCTTACAGTTCTTTTTGACTTTGTTTTCTGTGTATGCAGGATAATCACATTGAACCACAATGCTGTTATGAACTTTTTGAGAAAGATACGATTTGATTTGGTAATAGTAGGTACGAATTAATGTCTATGCAGATAAGACTAGTTTATTGTGAATATGCCTTGTTTGTTTTCTATTTATATTGAACTAATTTTGAGCGTCTTTTTTATATTTTCTTTTCTGCGTCCTTGAGGATATTCACAAATTCATTTTCTAGCCGCCTAGATTTACTGTTGGATAATCATAAAAATATATACCATAGACGGACCTCTATAGAATATTGCATTAGGAGGAATGAGAGGTTGAGACATGGCATATTAATGCAGTCATGTCTATAAACATAGTCACTATCAGTTCAGCAACCGCTACATTGATAGGTTAACAATGATGTATTATATTGATGTCAGAGTGATCACTATCAGTGCAGTCGCATGACTATCAATGCAGTCACTATCAGTTTGGTAACAACTGCATTTACGGATGATAGTGATTGCACTTCTAGACATTAGTGATATATACATCAAGGTTCTTTATATGTCACGTCTCTCTCGAGTTCCTTTCTCAAGGTTCTTTTTTATAGTCCATAAACTATCCTCTGGAGGACTTTGTTGTTATCGGCATACATTTTTTGCTCATCTTATCCCTCTCATGCTTAAGCACAAGGAGGAAGCAAGAGAAAGACTTTGTTGTTTTATGTATGATTTTGTTTGTAATCAATAGTTCGCTACCGTATGTGCTCTGTGATTCAATGTTGGCCTTGAGAGTTCACTTGAGAGATGATGTGGAAGCAGTTAGTTCTACAATTATTCCTACTTTGTGATTATATTTTTTTTTCAGGTTTAATTATTCCTACTTCTCAATTTTTTTCCAAATAACAAAAAGCAGCATCACGTCTGTTTTTTCAATTGCAAACGCATCCCTCAGTGAGCTTTTCGGTTCTGCTAAAAATCAAAATAAATTAACAGCAACTCCAACCATTGGCTTCATTTTAGAGTCCACACTAAAGCATATTCTAAGGAACATGTCAAAATAGAACTTTGCAACTCCGACGACACTCCTCAATTTCCAACTCCATTTCAATTTCTCTCCATTTAACAATTCTTTTACTCATTTCTAATTTTCAATATATTATAAATTAATACTAAAATTTTCTAATACATTTTCATTTTTAATTACTTGGTTTTTGGAATTTTATATTTTAATTAATATTATTCAATATTAGTCTCATTTTGAAGGTATCGACAAGACATTTCCAACTGTAAAATTTTTATTTAAAAATAATTAGTAGAAATAAACTTATGTTGATTTTAAATTACTAGTTACTAATTAAAAAGATATAGAAGTAATAGGTAATTGTTTATAAAACATTAAAAGGGCAAAGTGGGGGTATTTAGAAAAATTTGCAGCCACCTACAAATTTTGGAGGAAGGCTGCATACTTGCAACCGGAGATGGAGGCTGGTTGGAGGGCTTCGGAGCTGCAAAATCCAGTTTTGCAGCCCCGTTGGAGAAGCTCTATGGCCAGGGTCTACCACGCTCCTCATCCGTATTTATTAACTACCCCAAGAGTAATAAATAAAATAAAAATTCACTCGGGGGGCTGTTTGTAAAAACAGAATTGCAGGGGGCCCACCCACAATTCACTCGGGGGGCTGTTTGTAAAAGAAACCAACCACGGAAACAGAACTCGAAGAGAAATGAAGGCGTTATCTCTGTTGCGCCCTTCGCCCTCCCTCCCCAAAAATTTCGTGGGGACCCTAACCCTAGCCCCGCCTCCTTCGC